TGGTGGAGCAAGACGGAGACTGGAGGAGGGCAGCAGTGGGCTTCGGAGACCCTAGAAAAGCTCTGATTCTTCCCCTGGGAGCTGGTGACCTGGGGGTGTCTAGTTTGCAACGATTATCAAGCTGTCCCCTTAGGGCTTGTGCACTTTTCTCTGTATGTCTTATCCTTACATGTGGACAGGCCACAAAATGACCTTCCACCTCCCTCCTCTAAAATCGTTTTTCCCCACAGTCATTCCCCAGGAGCAGTGTAGTTCGAGTCCCCCCAGGGTTTTCTGAGCCCGTGCACCAAGATAAAGCTGAAGCTACGGGCCTATAGCTTTACAAAAACAGCACCATATTTTCTATACCATCCCACAATGTGTTGTTTTTTTTTAGCTTAATAATTCGAGGCGGCCTTCCTGTGTTTGTGTGCACGTGGAGCCTGATGATTCTTTTGGAACAGTTACTCAGCATTTTACTGTGGGGCGTGTCACTCTGTCGACTGGTCCTCTCTCAGTGGACAGTTCATTCCGGCCTTTCACTGGCGCCAGCCGTTCTGTGGGGAGCCTCTGCGTGCATGTCTCCGTGTGCTTTTGTGACTCTCCGTGGAGAACACGTTAGTGTAGGGGTGGACTCTCTCCGTCTGAGGTGGTAAATCAGGATAGTTAATCTGTTAATGGCTCGTTTGGTGGGTTGGAAGCAGGGAGACCAGGTAGGAGGCTGTTAAAATAGTTTAGACTTGAGGTAGCGAGGGTGGTTGGGTGCGAAGGGGATGCGCAGGGAGGGATAGGAGAGGCGTGAAGGGCAAAGACTTTACGTGATTCGGCACTGATGGGAGAGGGGGACAGTCAGGGAGGTCCTGGGGTCCTGAGACTGGGGGACTGGGAGGTCTGGGGATGCAGGTCGGAAGGAGTTGAGTGTGGGATGTGGGACCAGGTGCGGGTTCAGTTCTGGTCGGCTTGCGTCCAGGGGGCCTGGTGCGTCATCCGGGGGGTGGCGTCCAGAACGCAGCTGGAAGTGTTGCTCTGGACAGAGTTAAGGGCTCCAGACGGAGGCACGGGGTTCGATCAAGGTGGTCCTCGTGCTGCTGCGGGGGGATGGAGTCAGCGAGGGGGAGGGTCCAGAGGAGAGACGGGATCGGTGTACAGGGATGGCGGCAGCGGTCGAAGAGACAGAGGACATCTGCTGGAATTCGAGACCACAGAGACCAAAGAGGAGGGTCCGAAGTGACTGGAGCTCCAAGGATGAAGTAATCGGGAGGCTGTGTCAGTCCCCGCCCCTCTGGCCCCCCGTGGGTGTTACCATTGCATCATGTACTTAACACACCTGTGCTTAGTCCACGTGATCACCTGGGTGATGCCCACCTCCCTCTCTGAACTGTGGCCTCACGCCACTCTCGCTCTGCGTCCCGGGCGTCGGACACAGTGTTCAGCACAGGGCGGGGTTGGTTCCCTAGTGTTGGCGGGTTCGCTGCCTCCTGCAGGGCCCCAGCCCCACACGCACCACTCTGCTGGGAGAAGAGGGGCTTGGGGACTTGTGGGAGAACATTGGAGCTGCACAGTTTTGAGTGCTGGGTGCAGCCAGTGTGAGTGGGTGGCCCAAAATGGGTCACTCCAAGTCCGTGTACTTGTGTGTCACAGCGGCCAGCCACAGCGGGGACCCAGAGCTCACGGCTCCGCCCCAGGCCTCTGTGGTGGAGCATTGTAGCCACGCAGGATGGAGCCTCTCTTCTCAGTGGAGACCAGGCTCAGAAGTGCATTCAGCAGCTTCCTGGGGGCTTCCCACTGAACAGGAAGGCACCCACTAGATGTTTCTTGGGTGCTTTCATTCACCCCGAAGGGGGCTCGGGGAGCAGGCCCCGGTGCGCGGCTGCGGTCGGAGCTGTGGTTGAGCTGGTTTAGCGAGCCGTGCGAACGGAGAGGCGGCGTGGCGGCCACACCGCGGGAGACGGGAGTGCGTGGTCGGTGGTGTGGTGGGAGAGGCTGTTCTCCGAGGAGAGGTGTTGGTTGAAGGGGGTGGTGGAAGAAGCGAAGGCTGAGCAGACTTGCAGGGGGCGTGGAAAGAGCCAGAAGACGGAGAGGTGGCAGATTCTAGGTCCGGAGAGGACGCTGGGGTGGGAGGAGGTGGGGAGGGAGAGCAGACGGCAGAGGCAGGGAGAGGGCAGCCCTCCCGCTCCAGGGGGAGGGGAGAGGAGGGGAGGGGAGGGGCAGGTGGGAAGGTCTGCGGTCGGTGAACTCGGGGAATGAGAAAGGACAAGTGGGAGAAAGGCCGTCTGTTGGGGCGGAGGGGGCTCTGGGGCGGGGAGTGAGTGGGAACGCACTGGGACCGTCACCTGGGGGACTGTGACTGCATGAGCAAGCGATGGCCAGTGGACGGGTTAGATGGTAGACCTTGTTGGTGTGGCCAGGTCCAACTGTGGTCCCAGACTGGGCACTCACGAGGGGGAGGGTGGCATGTCGGGGAGACACACTAGATCTTGGCTTGGGGGTACCTGGGGAACGCCGGAGGTCTTTCTCTGCAGTGGCTGCGGTTACCTTTGTTTGCCACCTACTGTGTGCCAGGCACTGTGGTACACATTCTGTCATTTAACCATCTCAAGAGCTCCATGGGGCAGATGCTACCTGGCTTGGCCAAGGTCAGCTGGCCTGTGACCGTGCCTGGGCTGATCACTGCAAAGTCAGGCTCCCCTGTGTGGCCGTGCACCTGTCCTGGGGCCCAAAGAGGGCACCGGGTGTGGGATGCTTGGGGACCGTAGAGTGTCCCTCAGATGTGAAGCCCAGTTCTCCAATCATCCTCCCTGGTCCCCTGGGGACTGAGTTGTCGCCATGTTCGGTCCTGCCCTTTCCCAAGAGACCTGTGTCAGACCCTGGCGGGCGGGGGCGAGCCAGCACAGGGCGAGGAGGGGAGGTAGAAATCACAGGCAGGGGTCCGGTGTGGGTCCCCGGCCCCAGGACCGTGCTCGTGGGCACATGAGTGGAGGAGGGCCGTCTCCGTGCCTGCGAGTGTCTCTGAGTGAGCACGCGTGTGTTTTGGGATCTTTCTCGGCGCCTCGGTACCTGCTCTACGCAGAGAAACAGCAGTGGTGGGGGTGGGGCGTCGCTGCAGGTACCAGTTAGTGAAAGTACAAACAGTGGAGTGAGGGGAACACAGACACAGGGACATACATGTTCTCCCGTGTGCCTGGGCGACACGCACGGGAACGCACAGTGTCAGCTTTCCCATGTGCTTTCCCGAGTGGCTTGCCAGGCCCCTCGGATGTGGGTGCATGTGTCTGAGTGAGTGGCCCTGGAAGCACAGTTCGAGGGGTCCGTGGAAGCCCCTGGCCACACGGGGACAGGCACCGAGACGTGCACACGCACACTATCTTTGCACGTGTATTCCTGTGCTTTTTCCTGAGTCTGTGGGCACCTGTATCCGTATGGGAGACGTACATGTGGGCACACGCTCTGAGATACACACCCAGAGCGTCTGCGTCTGTGTGTCTGTCTCAGCGCCAGGAGGAAGGGGATGCCGTTGCTGTGTTGGGCGGAGGGAGGCTGGGAGAAGGCCAGCGGCGGGCATCTGGGCTTGCTCTGTCTCCCGGCACGCACACCCAGCTGTCCTGTCCAGCTGCCCAGCGGGATGATGGGGTTTGGGTGGCGCTGCTGTCCCCCAGGGGCTCAGCAAGCACTGGTGAAACCCCGGAGGTCTGCCAGCTCACCCCAGACTTCGTGGGGAAGATCCCACTAAAGGTCCACCCCACCTCTAGCAAAGCCACAGCCCCCACAGGGCGGTGGCAGCTGGAAACCATGCGATGATGGCCAGGCCTCGGGGCACGGAGCAGAGGGGTCCCCCTGGGGCCGAAGCCTGGCTCCCTCTCTCCCTGACTCTACAGAAGTGGACGTGCCACTCAGCCTCCGTGCCTCGGGTGGGGGTGTTAAAGCCGGGAGTGGGAGCACGCACCTCGTGGGGCTGGGGACAGTCAGGGCCGCTCTCAGGGCAGGGCCGCCGTCAGCCAGCAGGTTGTGGCTGAAGCCCGGCCGGGACGGGACCTGTCCTCGGCCGTGTCCTTGCAGGGTTCAACCTTCTCTGTGGAGAAAGGTTGTCCATGAGCCACCCTGCGTGGGGGGTGGTGAGTTAGGGAGGGAGCCGCAGCGGTGCCACAGGGCGGAGAGGGGCAGCGGTGGGAGGGCCAGGGCGTGCTCAGGGAAGGTCTTGGGTAGGACGAGGTGTGGTCACAGAGCGGGAGCAGGGATTGAGCGGCTGTGGGGGAGGGGCTGTCCCAGGAGAGGAACTAGCCAGGGCAGAGGGCCATTTGTCTTACAAGAACCGTGTTCTTCTCCCATTTTACAGTTGGGGAAACAGAGGCACAGAGAGGCTGAGTGATTTGCCTGGAGTCTCACAGCCGATGAGGAAGGGATCCAAGATTTGAACCTGGGCAGCCTGGTTTCAGAGCCAAAGGGCTAAATCTGTGGTCCTCAACCGGGGGTGACTTTGGCCCCCAGGGGATGCTGGGCAATGTCTGGAGACGCTTTTGACTGCCCTGCTGGATTGGAGGGCACTTCTAGCATTTACTGGGTGGGGGCCAGGGACACCTTCACGATGCGCAGGACGCCCCTGACGACGAAGCAGCATCACATCCGAACCGCCCGCGGTGCTGGGGCGGAGAAACCCTGCACAGCACTTCACAAGAGTATGACACATAGTAGGTGCTCAGTAAGCAATAGCCAAAGAGGAGAAAGGATTTGGAGAAGGTTGCGAGGCAGAAGTGAGTTCCCATTCAAAGGGGAGAAACAGTCCGTGTGTATGAATCCGTCACGTGAGAGGACACTGGTGACACAGTTTTGGGTGGGTGTGAAGGGCAGACTGCCGGGGGCGGGCAGGTGCAGGTGAGGCTGGTGGTAGGGAGGAGGTGGATGGATGGGGGGTGGGGGCTGAAGCTGAGCAGCCACCAGCCACCGAAATGCTAACCAGATGTCTCGCCCCTCTGTCCCCTCCCACCCTGTGTCTCTCTCCTCCTCCCTCGGCCTCTGCCACGAAGGGGACAGCCGGAGGCTGAAGGGGATCCAGAGGAGCACGGAGACGGGCCTGGCGGTGGAGATGCCCAGCCGGACGCTGCGCCAGGCCAGCCACGAGTCCATCGAGGACAGCATGAACAGCTACGGCTCGGAGGGCAAGTGAGTGCGAGCCCGGAGCCCGGCCTGGCTCCTGGTCTTCCCTGGCTCCAGGTCTTCCCTGGCGCGGGGCGGGAGGACTCAGCCCGGGAGGGGCGGGGCCTGAGGGTTGCTGGGCTACCCAGCTCCAGAAGCGGGGGTGATGACCCCGGGAAGCTGCGAGGAAGAGCGGGGTGAGCCAGACTCTGGTGCCTGCCTGCCTGCCTGGGTCTGGGTCTTGGCTCCACCACTCACCGGCTGTGTGACCTCGGTCAGGTCATCTGCCTGTGCCTCAGTTTCCCCATCTGTAAAGTGAGGATAAACACTAACCTCATAGGGTGTCATCAAGACTAAGCTCAATTTTATAAAAAGCACAGGGCAGAGCTCGGCCTCCTCCTGGCTGCCCCCCCCCATTTCGGGCCCTGTCTTGCAGCTGGGGCTCCCGCTGGCTGGAAGCCATCCCACCCCCAGCCCCTCCTAAATTGGGCATCCCCGGCCTGTGTGAGTGGCCTGACCTTGGCAGATACTGCCGGTCCACCCACCTCCTTGGGAGACTTTCCGGAGGGCGAAAGGAGGAGGAGGAGGAAGACAGGCGGAAGGGAACAAATGTTTTCTTTAACCTGAGACACTGGCAAGGCAACAAAACCTGGAGGAAGGTATTGGGGGTATCTGAGTAGCAGTGGGTCCCTGTTGACCCCCGGGAGCGGGTCAGGAGGTTTGGGTCCTAGTCCTGGCTCCGCCACTGACCCCGAGGGGCCTTGGACGCGTTCCTTGGCCTGTCCGAGCATCCGGAGGCCGGCAAGCATCTCGTCTGCTGCTTTCCAGGCAGGTCGGAGGACCAGGCCATGGGAGGGCAGGGCGGTGCGGTGAGCAGCAGCAGGAAGTCAACCCATATTCCCATTTTATATATAGAACAGGAAACGAAGACTCGGAAATGCCACACCGCCGTCACCAAGGGCAGCAGCGTGGGAAGGAAATGAAGTTGTTGCGAGGAGTGAATGAGTCGATATACGGGGGGGCACTTAGAATAGCGACTGGCACGTAGCAAGCACTACTGTTCACTATGTTGCACGGTGTTTGTTGTTGACTTAGCCGCTGTTATTTGAGTATCTTGCTCCTTCAGGTCAATTGCATCCTAACGGATACAGCGAGCCCCGCTAAATACAATCGTGTCTATAAAGTGCTTAGCACAGAGTGGGCGCAGGATACATGTTGGCTTTACAATGATTAAATAAGGTTTCAGATGGATGTCTTGAGCCCCGTGGAGCGGGGACTGGGTGGGTTGGAAGGTGCAGGGTCCAGTAGAGGGCAGAGCCTTGCCCTCCTGAGAGGGGCTGAGCTCCGCCAGGGGCTGCCCCTGGCCCAACACCTGGGTGAGGAAGGGAAGGTGAAGGGCCAGGTGGGGCCCTTGAGCTGTGTGGCTGGCATCCTCTTGTTCTGGGGGTATTCTGGGCACCGGCAGGACCCAGATGCCAGGCTCTGAAACAGGAGGGGGTGCGGCCGTCCTCCTCCTGGGCTCCTGCCAGCCCAGCTGAGGCGTCCAGGAAGCCAGGGTGCTTGAGCAGCCTCCGCCAGCCCTCGGCCCTGGGTGCTCCTGGGTCTGTCTACCCCGGGCACTGGGTCACTGGGCGTGAGCGTTCCTGCAAGTGGGCCCAGGGGTGCTCTTGTGTGGATCTTTGTTTCAGCAAATGGGATCGAGCACCAACAGTGTACCAGACATTTGGGCTGGGCACCTTGGGGACCCTGCCTTTCTCTGACAAAGCAACTGTCCGTGGGGAGAGCTGCAAAGGACAGGCGGAGAGAAGCGGGGAAATGTTGCGTCCTACCCAGGTTCTTGGGGCTGGGGGAGGGGTGGGTGTGGGTGGGGCCATTCCGTCAGTGAAGGTCCCCGAGCTCCAGGTTGCACTGTTCCAGCTTGGAGTGGCTTTGGCCCTGGCCGTTCAGGGTGTGGTCCACAGTCCAGCAGCATCAGCGTCCAGCCAGAGCTTGGTGGAAATGCAGCATCTCAGGCTCCACCCCCAACCTGCCGAATCCGTATGCAGTCAGCGGGGTCCCCGGGGGGCTCGTGTGCACACAGAGGCAGAGTGGGCCTGGCTTGCAGCAGTGGTGTCTGGGGCGGACACGCACAGAGCTCGGGCTGTGTGCGGACACCGTGCCGCGTGCTTTTACACATACTCGCTCACTCACTTCTCAGAGCAACCCAGTGACGCTGGCACTCTTCTTGTCCACACCTCACAGACGAAAACACGGAAGCCAAGAGAGGGTGATGAACTTGCCCAGGGAAGGTCACACAGCCGGTCGGTGGCTTCCAGTGCTGGGGTTCCAACCCAGGCGTTTGGAGTCTGCCCTTAGCCGTCACACTTGATGCTCTCCCTCATTCAACGGCTGCGCCTGTGTCCGGAGGCCGCTGACCCCAGGGAGGTTTGATGGCTAACTTTGGCCACCGAGCGCCCTGAGTCTTCTCCCTGTGAGCCCCAGGATATCGGGCTGATCCTGGTTTTCCCCTGAAGCTGGCGAAGGGCTTCCTTCCCGAGCCCCTTCTACCTGCTGGAAAGTTGGGTTCTGAGTGTCAAGGACGGAAGGGAACAGCTGTGGGTCTGGCGACCCGCCAAGCTCCCCGACCCCAGCGGGCCCATCTCCCCCAGACAAAGAGCGGGCGTGAAGCCCCCTGCACAAGGACCAAGAGGACAGTGTCTCCCCGGAGAATCCTGAGGTGCTCCCTGGGGACCATCTGCTTTAGCACGGGTTCCTCAGAGCCCGACCCGAGACGTGCATCCCAGGGCAGGTCGGTCATGGGAGGTGATTCCAGATAGCCACGGCGGAGGGGCCCGTGGGGGAGACGGGGCAGGGGTTAAGACATCCAGTAACTCGTGCCTTGAGAAGCCGGCTGCCGTGGTGGGAAACCAGAGCTTAGTCCTGGTGGGGACTCGCAGCCCGTGTGGAGCATGCGCCTGAGCGTCACCCCCCAGGAGGCGAGGGAGCTGAAGGATCTACACCCCGACTGTTGTCAGGTACTGGGGGGCGGCTGCTCCGGTTGACCCCCCTGCCCTTCCTGCGGCCCAGCGGACCCCGGGGGCGCTGAGAAGTTCCTCGAGGACCAGAGGAATGCATGTGCTGGCAGTCAGAAGTCGGTGTGATATGGTGGGGGCATCGGGGGGTATGGGGGGGTCTGCCCGGGCAGAGTCTGCTCCCCCAGCCGAGTGCACCGCACTGCGTCCCGCGGCCCAGACCAGAGCCCCGGGGTTCTCCCACGTGGCTCCCCTTCTCTGACATCCCAGATTCAGTCCACAGTTGGGCTGTACTCCCTCCCTCCTCCTGATCGCTTGACTCCCCTTCTCCCCATTGCTACCCCTTTGGTGAAGCTGCCTGTCACTCCGGCTTGGAGACCTGCAAGTCCCCACAGTCTGCACCTCAGCTCTTATTTCCCCCGGCCTCTGCCAGCCGCTCCCATCCCCGGCCCTGGGCCTCCGCCCGCCCCGGGCCCTGAGCCTCTTACCCTTGCCCGTCTCACCCCTAGCGCTTTCACATGCTGTCCCTCCTCCCGCCACTTCCTTTCCTGCCCCTGCTCCCGCCGCCTCCTCTGACTCATTCCTCCCTCCTTCAGACCTCAGCAAAGAACTGGCACACAAGCTTTATCTCATGTGCCAGCCCCAGTTAAGGGATAATGGCTCCCTGGAGTGCTGTGTTGAGAAGGGTTCTGGAGCCCCGTCCGGGCATGGCGGGAGTGTTGGGGTTGATTAGCAATGTCTGCCCTGGGCGTGGGCAGGGGAAGGTGGACCGGCTCGGTCTGCCGTTCCTCTGACGAATCAGCGGCTTCCGGTTCGTTCTTCCCCCATCACAGCGCCCCACACACTGTGGTAACTGTCACGTGTGTGTGTGTCTGTCTGTCCCACCAGACACTGGCGCCCGGCCCACAGACGATGCCCTGGAAGCTTCATGCAGTAATGAAGCAGGCACCACGAGCAGAGGCGTCCACAGACCCCACTTCTCCCCGCTCCTTCCCAGTCTCCTCCATCACACAGAGTCGGGGCCCAGCATCCTCTCTGTGAACCCAAAGCTCTCAGAGCGGCTGCCAGCACCCCTCCAGCCCCTTCCCTCGGCTCCTGGTAGTCCTGTGTTGTCTGGGTCGTCAGCATCCAGCGCTCTGGGTGTCTGGGTCCCTGTGCCCACAGCCCTAGAAAGCAGAGTGTGAGCTGACGGCAGGGCCCCGGGGCTCAGGGGCTCAGGGGCTCCTGCCTGCCGTGGCTGTTCGCTAATCACCAAGAACCCAGGAGGCTGGGTGGGTCCTCAGGCCCCTTTCCCCGCCCACCTGGGCTGTTTGCAGTCACGAGCCCGGAGGACAAACCTGGACTGGATGTGGCCGGGGGTTAGGAGACGGGACTGGGGGTGAGTTACAAGCACTCGTATTTGTCTAGCATCTGACTGTGCCGGCTTCCGTTCTGTTCGGAGAAGTCCATCTCATTTAACATCTACAGCAGCCCTGAGTGGGGCTCCTGTCGTTGTTTATTCCTCCTTCACCGGAAAGGAGACCCAGGCTCTGAGAGCTGAAGAATGTGTCCTCACATCTGGTGAGCGGGAGTTAGCATTCAAACCCGGGCCTGCCTGACTGGGTTACTTGACCGTTCTGTGCCTTGGTTTCCCCTTCCGTAAAATGGGTACTGGCGACAAGTGCCTAGCTTTCACAGTGTTGTTACCGGTAAATGAGAATTTAGTGAGTTAATGTTGATAACCTAATACTGTCAGTGCTTGGCTCATGACAAGTTTTTGATAAAATAAATCGAATCCTTGGCTTCCTGTCCATGAGCCACACTCTGATGGCAGGTGGGGGTGGGGTTGTGGGGAGGGGGCAGGTTTGGAAACGTCTCGAAGGCTGGAGAGGCCGGAGTCGGGACCGTGTGCTGCTGTGCACCCCGGCACTCAGTCCATTCTGCTGCGCTTGTTTGGGAAACGTAGTCTGTTCTAACCCGGCGGAAGTGTCAGGGAGTAACCTGAGCACAGCGCACACTATTTTACCTTTGCTCAGGTGCGATCGCATCCATGGGAAACGCAGGTGAACACGGGAACTCTGAACCCACGTAGGAGTGCGCGGGTGCAGGCGGGCCTCTGACGCAGCCTGCTCGCTCGCTCCGCCCCCGGCTGGGACCCGCCCACAGCCTGGGTCAGGACGCCCCGCCCCTTCGCCGCAGGCCTCCGCCCCTTCGCAGAGCCTCCCGGGCTGCGATGTTTCTGATGCTCATTTCCACACGCAAACTTTGGGCCACCTCCAAGGTCAAGCAGCGTATTTACTATAGGACGCAGGCATTTCTTAGCCTTCTAACGTGTACGATTGCCACCGTTTTTACTACATCCGTGTCTCTCTTCTTTTTCTGGATGTGATACTGATGTAGCAGTTGGGCACCATGTCCCAGCCCCACGTTCCCCATAAGCTCTGTGATTTTTGTCGCAGGATTTTGCATGCACAGTCATTTTTAGGAAGGCGGGTGTCATGCCACAGCAGAACCAACTGTACCGTTGGCTCAGCCAGCCTGTGGGAAGGTGGACGGATGGGTAGACGGATGGACAGAGAGACCACCAACTCTTGAAGCCTTTCAGGACCACGTCACCCAGAACCGCCATGACGGTTGAGCTGCCTTTTCATTTCAGATGCAGCTGGGACCAGGGATCCGTCTGGAAGAGAGAATAGGGTCAGGCCTCCAATAACCCAATTACCTCTTTGACTGTGGAGGGCGTGGAAAATCCAGGGCCAGGCCGAGCTCAGAGATTAATATTGAAAGACAAATGGGTTTCGGCTCCTCAAACAAAACTAACAGGATTTGAAATGCAGATAATCTCATTTCACCATTAGCACACAATAAAAGGCCGGTAGAGCGTGGGCTGTAATCTTGTTTCAGGCCTCCGCGTGGCGTGGGCCCCTGGGAGGAGCCCCCTGCTGGAGCCCCCTGCTGCAGCCCCCACTCTCTCCGCCCCGTGGCTCGGGCTTGGTCTCTGGCATCCAGACGCCGCCCTTCCTGACATGTCGGGAACCAGAAAGGCCGGGAAAAGGCCACACAGGGAGAAGAGGCTGCCCCGGGCTGGGTAGCAGGCTGTGCTATCTCGCTCCTTCATCCAGTCAGCAAGTACCGTGCGCTAGGTCGCCTGCCAAGCAGTGCGCCTGCGTGATCTCACTGCCTCTCTGCAACAGTCGGCAAGGCGATTACAGTGTATTCCTATTTTATACACGGGGAGACAGGAGCTCAGAGAGGGTACAAAACCTACCCCAGGTTGCACAGCACTGGAATCCAAGGTCTGTATTATGCCGAAGTCCAGTCTTAACCATCGTATTGTCCCAGCGTAGAACCCGCTGAAGGGTTCGCCTGTGAACATTTGTTGCGTTCCTACTGTGTATAAGGCATGGTCTGCGTAGTGGCTTGTATGTGGTAATCACCCAGCAAGCTCTTTCCTACCCCTTTGCAAATGTATCCAATGAGCAGGGGTTTGGGACACATTTAGAACTGATACAGCACCAGCACCCACCAATGGAATGGCTGCCTACTGTCCACGAGGTAGGTGTGGTCTCATTTGCAGAGACGCCTGCAGCTCACCGGTGGTTGACTGTGAGGAGTAGAAGCAGCTCTGACCTTGCACCCTCTGCTTCCCGTCCTGCTCCTGAGAAGACCCCGAGGTGGCGTGGGGTCTCCGATGCAGTTGGTCCCTGGCCAGCAGGGGCCTGCCACCACTGTTTTCTTCCTCCCCCCAGCCCCATGGAGGGTGTGACAACCCATTCAGGGTTTCTGGGGCGTCTGCCTGGTTCCTTGGCAGCCAGCGAGGCACCCTGGAATGGGAAATCAGGCAGCCGCCCAGATATTATAAACAATTACTGCTAATTACCAGGCCTGCCAGTTCCCCATTGTCTGCTCACAATCCTACCGGGAACTGAGGAGCAGACAATGACGATGTTGGAGGAAACTTTCAATTTCAGGCTGTAGAAGGCCAGCTCTGCTTGGGAGGCTGGGCCCCTCCAGGGACTTGGAATTCAAGAGGCACCAACATTTGGGGGCTTTTGGAGCCCCCAGGTGGCCAGGAGGTTGGGGCAGAAAAGAGGCAGGGGTGGAGGGAAGGCCATGACCATGGCCTTGGTGAGCGAGTCTGGGTCTTAGCTATGGTCTGTTAACGAAGGATCTTTGAGTTTGAAAGAATAGTGGGCACTTGTTTCTGTGCCCAGATCGTTAAGTTATTTTCCCCGTAGCTTCTCGGTGATGCTGTTGCATAATTGTTGAGCTGAGAGATTCGGGAGCCTGGCTGCTGGGATGCAAACACCGTTCTGCCTCTGTCTTGCTTTGGCCTTCCCTGGTGGGCAGTGGGAGTGGGCGCTCCCCTCTGGGACCTGGAGGGACCATGGAGCTCGGAGTCTCACAGACTCACTTCACGGGACTCCAGGCAGCCTTTGCTGCAAAGCAGCATGCCCTTTACTCAGCCCCACCCATAGGGAGGATGGGTGCAAGCCCTCTCTGCCTTCACTCCCACTGGCTGGGGTTTCCTGTCATCCCTCGGCACGGCCAGCCCAGCTCGGGGACCCAGACCTTCCTCCAGGCTTCTCCAGCCTCCCAGGCCTCTCCCCGCTGCCCCGCCCCGACCCCCTGTGACATCCTCTGCTCTCCCAGGCTGCGGTTGGTTGGTTTACTTGTTCGTTTGGAGGCAGGGCAGCCTAGTTTGGCATCTGTCCTTCTAAGTCTGTTTCTTCTTGGATTTCAAGCTCGAAACCTGAGAATCGGACTGACTTGTTCACTGCCTACTGCCTGGATAGGGAAAGGGTGGCAGGGGTGGTAGGAAATCATGAAAGTGAGAAGCACAAAGGCCAAAGTGTCAAATTATTATCCTGCCAGCAACTCTGTTGATAACCCAGGTAAAAACAATGTATCAGAATGATGCCAGGGTGTCTCACATGACTGAGGGAGAGCTGAGCAGCCAGCACTGGGTAGCTGGTAGTTGAGGCCCTTTGGGAGGGTGGGCCATTCACACGGCTCAGACCTAGGAGAAGGGAACTTTATTATTCCCATTTGAGAAAGAGAAAACTAACTAAAATTGGCTTAAGCAAAATATATCATTGTAATGTTGTTGTTGTTGACTTGTGCAACTAAAAAAAAAAGTACTTGCTTCAGGCAGAGCTCGATCCAGGAGCTCACACAAAGACACCAGTTTGATGGCTTTGTTCATGGACCACAGGTGGTAGTAAGATAGCTGTCAGAGGCCCCAGTCTGTTTCAGGTTCAAGTCTGGTGGGGAAAAAGTGCTCTTCACTCCCTACAGGTCAGAGAAAGCTTCCCAGCCAGAGTCCTGTGGGCTGAATTGGGCCACACACCCATTTGAGCCGATCACTGAACAAGGGAAGGACTGGCCAGGCTGAGCTCACACCAACCTGTGGAGCAAAGTCTGCTCCTGTCCATAGGAATCAGTACCTTGGGGGAGGGGCACCGCAAAGGAGATTGGAGATCTTGCCCCCAAAGGAACAGGGCAGACATTTGACAACCCACAGTAGCAACGAATGCAGACCTCCAAGGTTGAGCCACTTGTCCCATGAACCTCAAACTGTCAGGGGCAAATGACTCTTCTGGGGATCATGTTATAAGGCAGATTCTGATTCAGCCGCTGGGGGTGGAGTAGGATGCTGTTCTGTTCCTGATTAACTCTCGGGGATGCTGGTGTCTGGACCACACTTTGGGTACCACGGCATCAAACCACAGGAGCCAGGCACTGACGAGCATTCCTTCCCGAGATTCCTACAGCCACCCCGAGAGGCAGGTATCTCCTGACCCATTTCAGGCAGGTGGCACCCAAGGCCCAGCGAGGAGAGCTAGGGAGATGGTACAGGAGATTTCAGGGCCATGGAGGTAGCAAGGGGGGAGAGACAGGACCTGGGTCTGTCTGAGGCTGGGTGGTGGACGCGGACAGAATCATCGTGGCAGGAGGGGTGTCTGGGGTTGACCGCCCGAGTCACCTGAGTCCTCGGTCTCTCTGCCCCTGGGAACGTTTGCCATTTTCTTATCCTTTCCTCTTACAGCCTCAACTACGGGGGCGTCTGCTTGGCGTCGGACGCGCAGTTCAGTGACTTCCTGGGCAGCATGGGGCCAGCGCAGTTCGTGGGCCGCCAGACCCTGGCCACCACGCCGATGGGTGAGTGCCCCAAGACTTGTGCCAAAGGGGGGTCCCACCGGAAGCCCTGAGTCTCCCCACTCTTCCCCTCTGCCTCAGCTGCATCTGCTGAGCACCCGTTGGAGCTCGGCCCGCACCTGCCAACCCTCTGCAGAGCCTGGGCATGTGGCGTGGGACGTGGTTCCCGCCTCACTTTGGGCTGGGTGCGGGGGATTTGTCGTAAGCAGAGAGGAGGACCCGAGTCCTTGATTGAGCTTAGACGCCACGGCCCAGTCTCACCTGGCCGGGTTTCTTGCAGGGGACGTGGAGATCGGCCTGCAGGAACGCAATGGCCAGCTTGAAGTGGACATCATCCAGGCTCGGGGACTGACGGCCAAGCCAGGCTCCAAGACACTGCCAGGTGGGGGCGCCCTCCCCCCGCAAGGGGGAGGTGGAGGTTGGGGAGCCTGTCTGGAGGGATATCTGGGTGTAGAAGAGAGAACATGGAGCCCCACGGTGGGGGAGTCCTTTGTTCCAGCCCCAGTGACTCACCAAGAACTGCCAGTGACTCAGGAGTCCCGGTAGAGATTGTCGGCTGACCTCGTCAGCACCCTCTGCTGGACGGAGCTCCTGGAGGGCGCAGGCCATTTTTCCTGTTTATGATTTTACCCCAGTGCCCTGTAGGGTGCTTGGCGTGCCGTGGGTGATCAGAAAGCATTTGCTCGGTGAATGGGTAGCGATGACTGTGTGAGGCAGGGGCGGAGCGGGTGAGTCAGAGACAGAGAAAGGAAGCAGGTGAGTACAGAGTGAGCAGGGGAAGGGGGAGGCTCGCAGGACCGCCTGAGGGGGTGGAGCAGGCCTCGCCAACCCTGGCTGCACCCCAGCACCACTCCCACCTCCTGGCACGGCCCTGTTGTCTCCTCCCCAGACTCCATGGGAGGCACTTTGACCCCCAGCAGTTAGTGGTGGGCAGCCCCCTCTGCCATGCCCCATGCCCGCCACCTGAGGCCCACACCAGGGCTCACCTGCTGGCCTCTGTCCCCAGCCGCCTACATCAAGGCCTACCTGCTGGAGAATGGCGTCTGCATTGCCAAGAAGAAGACCAAAGTCGCTCGCAAGTCACTGGACCCGTTGTATAACCAGGTGCTGCTGTTTCCTGAGAGTCCCCAGGGCAAGGTCCTGCAGGTGAGGGGCGAGGGTGTGCACACGCGTGTGTGTGCACCTGCACCTGCAGTACTGGGGAGGAGAGGGGTGCCCCGGGGGAGGGCCTCCCCTGGAGGAACTGCAGCGCAGTGGTTGACCAGCGCTCCACAACCTGCTGTGCGGCTTTGAACAAGTTTCTCTCTGAGCCTCAGTTTCTTCATCTGTAAAATGGGGACACTAGCAGCACCTGCTGACAACAGTGGCAGTAATGGTGAAAGGTGTGCTTTGTGCAAGAAAAGTATTTGCAAGTTTGGCCTATAGTAAGTGCTCTGCAAATAGCTTCCATCACCATCATCGCCATCATCATCACCATCATCGTCATCAACCTCTGGAGGCCAGGGGCTTGGCCTGAAGCCCAGTGGTAATAAACTGGGAGCCTTTTGAGCATGCAGACAGGCGTTCGGCCCTCTGGCCACCAGGAGAATCCCAGCGGTGACTCAAACCTGGAGCTAGAAACAGCTGCCCGGTGTGGGTACAGACAGGGCCAGGTCGGGTGCCTGCAGAAGCCAGGTGCCCGTTCTCCCCCGGAGCTGTCTTTTGGGCACTGCTGGCCTGTGCCTGATTCCTTGCTCCTCACCTGGACGGGCAAAGCCAGTGAGGATGGGTCCCAGGTGATACCCATGGCCAAGACCGTGGGGCTTTTGCTAAACTGGGAAGCCCAGGTCCTGTCTAGGACAGAGTTTGTCAGCCTGTGGGTGGAGACCCACCACTGAGTTGGGAAATCCGTTTAGCTGGTCTCAACAGTTGCTTTTCAGCGGAATGGGTAGGAGAGAGACCATGTCTCACTCCCAGTAAGGTAAGTCCTCTTTGGAGGGGGTCCGTGCTTCAGTGGGGAAGCCAGTATGTGCCCAGGCAAGGATGCTCCCTGTCCAGAAAGTCTGTAAGAACCCTCCAAATACAACTTAAAACAGCCAGGAGACCGTCCAGATGCTGGGCACATACAACACCTGCCACTTTTTGAAACTTTGTTTCGCCGGGGGCTCTGAGGTTCCGGAAGCAGAGGGCACGTGGGGGAAGTTAGTAGGGGGCTCACAGTATAAAGGGTCGGCCCTCAAGACTGGGATTCAAGGGTGGGGCTTGTGGAGGATGGGCTGGAGTGGAGGGGGTGAGGCCAGAGGCAGAAAGGCAGTCACCCAGGGAGCTCTGGAGCCAGCAATCTAAAGGTGGTCCAGTCTGCAGGACTCGGAGGTGAATTGGGCCTGGGGGTGACCCCAGGGTCCGGTTCTGAGCTCGGGAGTGGCATTGGACGGCTGGAACCGCTGTGTCTCTTGCCCCGCAGGTGATCGTGTGGGGGAACTACGGGCGGATGGAGCGGAAGCAGTTCATGGGTGTGGCCCGCGTGCTGCTGGAGGAGCTGGACTTGACCACCCTTGCCGTGGGCTGGTACAAGCTCTTCCCCACCTCCTCCATGGTGGACCCGGCCACGGGCCCCCTGCTCCGGCAGGCTTCCCAGTTGTCCCTTGAGAGCACCGTGGGACCCTGCGGCGAGCGATCCTAGTGCCAGGGATAGGGAGGGGCTCCCCGAGATGGCCTGGAGACCACCCAGCCCCGACCTGGGATCCCAGGCCCAGGGGCACCTCGGACAGAGGACGACGGGGTTCTCCCCCACCGTGGGGAAGAGGAACGGGGAGACCCGCCCCCCTTGGGACCCTCCTCACCCCTTCTTTGCTTCCTATCCCCTGAGACCTGTCCTCTCCCAGCGGGATTGGCTGCACTTTTGACTTGGCCGGTTGGTGACCTGGTGGCCGTGGCTGCAGGCCGAGAAGGGAAGGGCTGAGGTGGCAGAGCAGACCACTCTCCCGCCCCAGGCGCTGTCCGACTGCTCCCCCTTGTGCGTCCTCGGAAGCTCGCTGCCCGGAGCCAAGTCCAGAACCCAGCGGCCGTCTCCATGGTGCCAATAACCAGCAAGTGTCTTTCCTGCGGCACCGGGTTCAGGCAGCTACACCCGCCCCGACGCTGACCGGGCGGCTTTGCAAGAATCCGGAGCCAGCTCTGGGGGGCCCTACAGCCCCCAGCCCCCACCGTTTGAAGAGGAGCTCTGGCCTCCTTCCGCCTGCCAGTGGAAGGAGTTTTGCCGCAGCCTGTCTGTGTCCATCTGTCTGTCCCCTCCTGCCTGCCCCTCTTCCGGTGGTATTGGAATCCAGCAGGGACCAAAGGAAAGGGGGAGGTGCCCAGGGCCCGGCACAGACCCCCAGGGTGCCTTGCTCTGTGGGACCGAAAGAAGCTGCTGTGGGAACTGTGGGACTGGAAGAGCTCTGTCTCTGGGTTTTGGTGGATGAGCTGCAGAACCCCGGTTTTCCAGAACCCCAAGCCCTGAGAAGCTCACCGTCTCTGCATTTGGGGGTGCTGGATTGGAGAGGGAATCTGGGGAAAGCGGGGGTTGGGACTGGTGGTGCCAAGGTGAGTGTTTCCCAAATAGGAGACTCCCTTCTTGTTGGCTGAGGTCAAAGGTCATTTTGTCTATTCCTCTGCCCCCTGCCTAGGGGCCTGGGGAGGCAACACAACTCCCCTATTTTAGTCTTTTTAAACCAACCACGTGTACTAAGAGCAGAACCCACTGCCCCGGCCTCAGTTACCTTGGCTCAAGGAGAGAAGGAGAGGAGAGGTAGGAGTCGAAGAACTGTGGGATTCCTTCTCAAGCAGGCCTGGGTAGCTGCCTTCCCGGCCCAGCCCTCCCCCGGGCCTCCGGAAGCCCTTTTGCATGCTGGGGAGGACTCGGGCTGGCCCCTCTTTATAGAAGCACATTTCTGCCACCTCCCCCGGGAGGCCCCCAGCAGCCCGCCACCCCTCATTGCCCAGTCCCTGCTGTGTAGGGCGTAGTCCAGGTTAGCTGGGTAGAGTTAGTGTTCCAGGCCCTGGGGCCCGTTCTTAGCTTGCACATAGTTCTCGCAGAGCCCCAGGACCGGGCGGAGAGGAGACACGAGTACATTCCAGGAGATGGCCATCTCCTCGCTGGCCTGGGCCTGGGCCTTGGGAGGCCAGCCCCTCCGTCTCCCCTGCCTCCCCCTCCCCCTGTAGGGTTGTAGCTGGAGCTGCCCCCTATACTCAGATGTTCTGATTTATTATCCTTGGTACCAGTTTCATTTATGAGGCAACCCTGAGGATGTGGGCCTTGGTGGCGGGGCCCGGATGCTATCAGAGGGGGGGCGTTTTCTACTGCGGACATCCGGCTGTGTCCGGTCCCACCTTGTCCCTGGTTCCACTATAGGCTACTGCCCAGGTGACTCCTTCACCTGGAGTCCCTCATCCCCACCCCCACCTCCATACCCCCCGCAGCCCGCTTGAGCCCTGGGCATCCTTCCAAGTCTGGTCAAGTTCAATGGCCTCCAGGGATCTTGTCACACTGCACTGGGAAGGGGTGACGGGGAGGCCTTTCCATCCAGGAGGCCTTCAAGGTGCCCGGGTGATTAGGTGGAACCCCAGGACTCGGGCAGGAGGCAGCCGGGCTCTGGAGGGACTCGCATCTGAGGCCCAGAATCAACCCCTCACTGTTTTGGTTTGTTTTTTTAAACCAGTGTGATTTCTCTGCTGTTCGTTTATTACTCGCCATTTGGAATATTTTGAGCCAGGAGAGCACCTCCTCTCTCTGCAGCCATCACCGCTCTGGTTGTACAGGGGTCGTTGTCAAGGACGGGGCAAAGCCTGGCTGTCCCAGCCGAGGGGAGAAGGGGCTCGGTGCACCCCAGCCTGAGCCCACCCTCTGGTGTCTGCACAGCCTTTATAAAGAGAGAGAGAGAGAGAGCTCCAAAGCAATAACAACATCCTGGGGGTGGTCCCCGAGGGCCCCCCCACTGACTTTCCTGTGTGTTCTGTGAAATCTCAGCTCACCTCCTGGAGGGGTGGCGTGAGTGAGGGCTGGAGCCCTTTTGCTTTGTATCATCCTTGTTAGCGCGTGCCCCCTGCCGAGGGGCTCTGCCCGTTTGGCGTGGGAACCACCATCCGTCCTCACCCAGGGATAGGGGTTTGGGGAGGGGGTGAGGGTTCTCATTATTAGCTTCGGGAACCTTCAGACCCAGCCCGTCCCCACCGCTGTCGGATCCTTTGTAGCTTCGACTCCAGCATTTGGAGAGGATCGGAGAGGGTGGCGTTGGGGGAGTCGGGTGGGGAGGGGCTAGGGATGATTTTATTTTTCAGTCTCTGGTCCGAAGGTCACATGCAGAGGTAACCTGGAGGGAGTTGTCTCCACTTTCCTTCTCCAGAATCCACTTTTCATACTGAAGGGAAAGAGGCTTTGGGACCATTGGTAAAGCCATTTCCATTTTACTGACGAGGAGACTGCGGCCAGTGCAGGAATCACTGCACCGGGGGTCACCTGTACATTCACTGGCACCTCCAGCCTGGGCCGCCGCCTCCTCCTGCTCCTCGGAGGCTGAGCTGGAGCGGGGGCAGGATGAGGTGGGGCCACCATTTCCCCCCACCCCTCCTACCCTCTCTCACGGGAGCCTCCCTGTGGCCTTGAAAAGGCGGGCAGGGCAAATTGTAGCCCGTCTGAGAGGTGAGGAAACTGAGGCCCAGAAACAGGAAGTGACCTGCCCAAGACCCCTCGGCACGTGTGCCGGGGGGGGACAGAACAGGGCTCCATTGTGCCCCCTCCCTCCAGGGGACAGGAGACCATTGGTCCAGGGCGTGCCTGCTGGGATTACTATCTGTGGCCTTTAAGCCCCGGGCCTCCCAGCCCTGTGTGGTCCCATCTCCACGGGCCAGCGATTTTTCTGGGCCCGGGTTTGGGGAAGAGGGTTTGCCATAGACACCTAGCTCCCCTGTGGGGGCCGGCCCAGCTGACTGAGGGCTTGGTCCAGGCCTCAGTGAGTGGGTGGGGGCCCCCACCGAGGGGCCGCAACCCTCCAGGACCAACTGGAGGGAGGTTGGAAGCACCAGTCCCTGCCTGGCGCTGCGTAGGTGTGAGGCTGCTCTGGCATGCCACACCTGAAGGAAATCCTTGCAAAACCTTCGGCTGCAGTGATACCTGGTCCTCCTGTAGTACTTCTCAAACTTTTTTGTTTTCAAAGTGCTTTTACCTCCAGGGCACTCTCACAGGAGCCCCTGGGCAGTAGGTGGGGGGCCTCTTCTCAGCCCCATTTCAGAGGGGGCAGCTGAGGCCCTGGGAGGGGAAGGCGCCTGCCGGTCCTGGTCCCGCTGTGAGCGAGCGGCCAGGCTCAGGCCGGAACTCAGTTCCGAGCTCTTCCCCCTCCACAGGTCGGTAAGGAGGTTCAGGGGTGCGTGGTTGTGCACTTTACAAGCTGCTTCGCCACCATCCAGTTCCTTAAACCAGGAACTCCCGGGCGCACTCGGTGTTCGGAACGGCGCTGAGCCCCCGCCCCTCGGAGCACAGCTGTTGCGTCAGGCAAGGCCACCTGCGTTTATTTATTGAGCAGCAGCGCCGTGCCAGGCCCGGGGGACCGAGCCACCCCAGTCCCCCTGCAAGGACTCCCACAGCCTTCCGGGAGGGCCCCATGTCTGTGCGGCAGGCAGCGCCTCGGTGACAGTAAGCTTTCATGTCCACGAGTTCATCTGACTCACCCTGCGGGGAGGCTGGTTGTGCCCATTTACTCATAGCTTCTGTGAGAGCAAAGTGGAGACGCGAAGCCAGGGCCTTGGACATCCCGTCTGTGGTGTCCTCTCCTAGACCGCCTCCTGAGAAGGCGGCGGGAAGGCAGGGCCCCGGGTCCTTGGGCTGAGGCCTCTCCATCCACCCACCTTTCCTTCACCCCCAGGAGCAGGAGCCCCTCGGGCCTTCGGGGAGGGAGGGTGTCCCCGGCCCCTGGGTCGGAGTGGGTCACGTTGCATTGTGTTCACAACCATGTAGCTCATGTTGAAAATTAAAGTTTTTGGCTTTTCTAACTCGTCTTGCTCTGCTTTGTGTTGAGACGGTCGTGTCTGGAAAGCCAAGGGTCGCTGGTGTTTTAAAGAGCTGAGCGTTGGGGGGATGCCGGCGTGCTGCCAGAATGCCGTGCCCCCCACCCCCACCCCGCACCGGGGCCTGTCCTGGGAGCCCTTACAGAGGTGCTCGGGAGGGAGCAGGATTCGGGATGAACCCAGTCGCCTTACAGATGAGATTTCACTGAGGACCAGGTAGGGGATGAGATGCCCCAAAGTCACATTCGGGTTACTGGCAGGACCCCGTTCTCACACCCCCAGACAAGAGCTGGTCTCACTCAGCTGCGCCCAGGTGGCCCCAGGGACATGCTGGGCGTCAGCAAGGCCCCGTCGTCCTGAAGTGGGGCTGGCCGAAGACAGAACATCCGCTTGGGTGGGCAAAGAGCGCGCTTCATTCCCCCGGGGGCCAAGTCCTATCTACTGTGCATGCCGAGCAAGAGAACTCGATCGTTTAAACAGTGCAGTGGTCCGACCGCCGGTCCTCGCTGGGTGGTGGATGGTTCCCACTGGTCCATCTCCTGTCTGTGCTGCTGGTGGTGTGAGCAGCCGGCCTCCAGGGTAGGATTCCAGCGTTGGAAATGGAGCGTTTCCCCTGCAGCACGGAAAGCCGGCCCCTTCGTGCGGGAGAATAGCCGCCCGTTCCCACCCCGGAGGGCCAGATGGTGCCATGGGCCATGGAGAGCCTCTCTTAGGGGACTGACTTGGTCATGTCTTCCTAAAACAGTTTGGACCACAGGGATCTGCACCTATGAGGTGACTTTAGAGTCATGCTTGTGTGACGGCGCGACTTTCTTTTTGGAGAGGAGGGAGTGGCTAGCCACAGAAGGGAATGAGAGCCTGCCAGTGGCAGCAGATGGCTCTGCAGCCATCTCACCCCTCTCCAGGCCCCGGGCAGAGAGGTGCGCTGTGGAGAGTCCGTTCAGACGGACTTCCGCCGCACCTGGAGCTTGCCTGCCCTGCCGCGGCCATCCGTAGCCCCAGGGCTTGCCGGGGGCGAGAAGCCCAGATTGTCTCGGGCCCACATCTCAAGCTGGTGGACGCGGGAGGAGACGGAGGAGCCCTCGGGGCGCGCTGGGCGGCGGCGCAGGGCGGAACCGTGGCTCTCCAGCGCCCCTAGGTGGAGCGGGCTGGTGCGGTGGGCAGCGCGCTCGGGCGCGTCGGTGCTGGCCGCCAGAAAGCGCAGGACCACGAGGTTGAGGAAGGCGCCGATGACCGTGAGCCCCAACAGGATGTAGAGGAAGCTGAAGGCCACGTAGGGTGGCTTCCTCTGCAGCGCCTCGTCGCTCTGCAGCGCCACGAAGTCGCCGAAGCCGATGGTGGTGAGGGTGATGAAGCAGTAGTAGTAGGCGTGGAAGAAGGTCCATCCCTCGAAGTGCGCGAAGGCGGCGGCCCCGAGGGCCAGGGTGGCCGCGCACACCAGCAGCCCTGCCACCACCATGTTCTCCGTGGACACGCGCGGCCGCCGCAGGCCCAGGCAGCGCTTGGCCGCCAGCAGGAGGCGCCGCACCAGCGCGTTCAGCCTCTCACCCAGGCTCTGGAAAGTAACGAGCGTCAAGGGGATGCCCAGCAGCGCATAGAACATGCAGAAGACCTTGCCTGAGTCGGTGCCTGGCGCGGCGTGGCCATAGCCTGGAGGGAGAGCGGAGGGGAGGGTCGGTGAGTACCCAGTGCCGTCTAACAAGACTGTCGACCTTGACACCTGCCTGCCTGGTCTCCCATCCCCCAGTGAGGGCTGAGCATCTTGAAAATGCTGGTTCTATTTACCTAGGTCACTCTCTGGTTTCAAAAACCTTGCACAGTTATCCATAATCACCCCAAATCGTAAACAACCCAAATGTCCCTCAGTTGGAAAACGGATAAACAATCTAAGGTAGTAGTACATCCACACAATGGAATTCTTCGGAGCAACAGAAAGGAATGAACTGAGGTTATCTGCAGCAACAAAAGACGACTCTCAAATGTATTGTGCTGAAGCCAGGCTCAAAAGGTACGAACTGCTCGGTTCCATTTCAATGGCATGCTGGCAAAAATAACTATGGGGACAGAGAACAGATCTGTGGCTGTCAGTCACGGAGACTGAGGGCGGGGTTAACCACAAAGGGGCAGGACCAAACTTTGGAGAGGGACGGAAATGTCCTATGTATATATAGGTCGTGGCTGCTGTAACAGGGCAAGTCTTCATTTGTCAAAACCCACGGAGTGTGCACTGAAAAATGGTGAGTTTTACTGTGTGTGAATTGTATTTTGATTTTTTTTTAAAGTGGTAAAATCTTCCACGGCTCCCTGCACCCACAGAGTGAAGAACTGGTTCTCACACGGTGTCTAAAGAACTAGAGCTCCGCCCTGGCTGGCGTAGCTCAGTGGATTGAGCGTGGGCTGCGAACCAAAGTGTCCCAGCTTTGATTCCCAGTCAGGGCACATGCCTAGCTTGCAGGCCACAGCCCCCAGCAACCGCACTTTGGTGTTTCTCTCTCTCTCTCTATCTCCCTCCCTTCCCTCTCTAAAAATAAATAAATAAAATCTTAGGGAAAAAAAAAAGAACTAGAGCTCCTTCTGGATCTGACTGCCCTTCACCTGTCCAGACCCCCCATGTTGTCTCCCCAACCAGCATGTCACACCTCCATGTGCCTTTTCTCGTGCCACCCACCCCCACCCCCTGCCAGGCAGCCCTGTCCACCCTGTCCTCCCTGCCCCCATCTGCTCTCCCTCCCCAGACCCTGCTGCAGGCCAGCTCTCACTGCACACCCCTGCAGTCTGGTGCAGCGATTCCTCATGCAGTCCCCTTGACTGTTGCGGGGGACCCAAACGTAAGTGCATAACTGCGCTTCTTCCACGAGAGAGGAGAGAAAGCTTTCGTGGTATTCTCAGGGGGTCCCATGACCCAGGAAAAGTCAGGCAGGCCTTCCCCAACAGAACATGCCTCCTCTAGCAAACTGACCTCGTCTGCCAACATGTAAAACACCCAAGCCCTCTGACCCTATGGAGTCCCACGGTTAGGAAGTCAGTCCTCCGACACACACACGTGCGGAGTGACGTGTGCATGTGGGTTATCACTGAAGTGTTGTTGCTCACGGCGACACTCTCAGATGGCCTGAGTGTCCATCCATCGGGGCCTGGCTATGTAAATCGTGGTGGCAACCAAATGATGGACTATCACATGGCGGGCTCCAACCAGGGGTTATCTTGCTCCTGAGAAGACAGTTGGCAATGTCTGGAGACATTTTTGATGGTCCCAACCGGAAGGTGGTGGCTGTGTGCCACTGGCCTCTCGTGGGTAGAGGCGAGGATATGGCTAAGCTTTATGCCATACAGACAACAAAGAACTTTCCAGTCCAAATGTCAACTGTGCCAAGGTTGAGGAGCTGCTGTACAGCCGTGAAAAAGATGACACAGTTCTTCGGCAACTAACAGGAAAACATCACCAAAAATCGGGGTTGGGGCAAAAGGAGGTTTCCAGGTGTGGGTACATGAAACACAGAGTGTGTTCCTGTACTATTATGTGTTAATTATTGTATTATTTCCCATACGAACAACTGTAAACCTACTTTCCCCTCCACCCTGCATGTAGGTTTAAAAATTAAGAGAAAAAACAGTGTGTGTAATGGAATACCCGCACAATGTGTGTGTTTTAAAGGGATACAGAGGCAGAGAGTGCATCTAGGAGCACACACCCGAAACTGGTAACTATCTGACCCAGGGAAAGGCATTGACGGGCTGAGGGACAGAGAAAGAGGGAGCCTTCTCTTTCATTCTGTGCCCTTTCCGACCACAGGAAGCGTGGACTGTGTGCGTACATAGTTCATTCAAAATGCCAGTACAACCGATGTATTCGAAGGCCAGTGGCTCCACTCCCGCTTCCCACCGCACGGCCCTGTCTGCTCTCTCGGCAGCGAGGGCTCCGCCCACCACCCCCGGGCTGGGAGCTCCCTGAGGCTGGAAACCAGGCCGGTCGCTTCTCTGTCTCTCTGGTCACCACAGCTTCTACAGATCCTGGCACAGACTGAAGGGTCAGTGGAAATGTGATAACCAATAATCATAATAAACCGAATTGGGGGGGGTGCTGAGACAGAGGAGGCTCCTTAGGAAGAAGAGGCCAGGCGGTGCTGTTTCCAGCTGTTTGGGGCTCTGTCTGGTTTTAGGCAGAGAGGGAAATGAGTAGTGATACCTAAACATGAGGGGGTACTTTACGTGGATTCTCTTGTTTAACCCTTTCAATGGCTGTAAGAGATGGCATTACCTCCATTTGACAGATAGGGAAATTTGGATTAGAGGGATGAAGCTGCCCAGAGGTCACCAGGCCGGAGCTGTCAACCACTATCCTCCACTGCTTCTCAGCGTCTCTCCTCTGTCCCTGCAGCGCTCAAGCTCCCGGTTCTGTGGGCTGTCTGCAAGGCTGACTCAGGTAGCCTGCACCACACAGCACGTGCTGGCGCCCCCAGGTGGCCAAACATGCAAAAACGGTTTCCCCGTCTTAGTCCTTCCTGCAGACTCCCAGGTGCATGTGTGTGTAGTGGTCCAGGGGAGGGGGGTGGGGCAGGGCAGAGAACACCCAAGGGAGGAGGCCAAACCCAGCTGGGGGAGGGGGTCTCCAAGGAATGCTGGAGAAAGCAGAAGAGATGGATGGGGTCCCACACCAGTGGGCACAGTGACAGGGAGGATCTTAGGCTGAGCTGAGCTAGAGAAGCAGGGGTCCCGTGTTGACAGGAGGGGGCTTAAGGGCTGAACGGAGGCTGGGCCCACGGTTGGCAAATAATGAATTGTCATCATTACTAATTAATAGTGCCTATTTAGCCTCGGGCACTGTGCCAAGCAGTTTACATGCTTGACCTCATTTAAACTTGGCAATCGCCAGTGAGGTGGAAAAAATGGCATTTTGAAGTTGAAGGAACCAGGGCTCGGAGAGGTACAATCAATTACCGGAGGGTC